ACCTTAAACTTGGGCCAACTCCTTTTGGGGTGGAGACGGAACAGGTTTTGAGAGAAGAGCCAAGGTCTAGGTCCAATGGCCTTGAGACAAGCCTGCTGAAAGCTGTGGCCTCTGGCAGGATCTGCCCACACTGGGCCTCTTCAGTTGCTACATGGTATGTAGCCCAAGGAAAGCACCTCGCAGTTCCAAGGCTGGGATGGTGGCTGGGGCCAAGGTAGGGTCCTCTGAGTGGGTCAATGGCTGTTTGGAGCTGTTTCTCTCCTGAATCATTAGCACTGCCCTTAGTAAGTGACGGAAGCTGTTGGGAGGAGCCTCCATCACTGTAATCTCTATTTTCCTCTCTGTGTATCCTGTTCCCTTGCCTCTGGCAGTGTTCCACAGCAAACAGGCCTGCTGGGTAATAGCAGCCACAGGGATGCCAGGGCCAGAGACTATTCCCTCTCTAGCCAATCCTCCTGGCTTCAAAGACAATCCATTCATTTCCCACAGGTGCCCCCAACTGTCCAGCTCTCCCCCTGGAGGGTTCCAGGAGTTGAGAGTTCAGGAGCCCAGGGTCTGAGGTCACAGGAAGAGTCTGATAAGGTTTTCCTGGAATGAGCCTAATGATAGCTAGGGGTTCTGTTCTCTTGGGGAGAAGTGAGCGGAGACAGAATTGACTTCAGCAGCCCACATGCCTACATTCCAACCCTCTACAGGGCTGAGCTGTGGAGAGCAGGAAGAGAGCCGAGCTGCCCTTCTCTCCCTCCTGCCAGCAAAAGAGCAAATTGGAAGGACACCGTCTACCGTCCTCCCTACTTCTCCCTCAGGTGCCCGCTCCAGCCCCACCCTGGGATCAATATCTAATGCTGAGTTCAAGATCTTATCTGCCATTTGCAAGGGTAAACCAACAAACTCACCGCCCCTCCCCCAGCCCTGATGATTAAACCCTTTGATGATCTGCCCAGTATTTTCCAGGCTACCTCTAACGAGCTTTAGAGAGTAAATGAAATGACTCTGAGAAAATTGGAAAGGCATAGATCGTCTCACAGAAGACCACGGATGAAATGATGGGTAGGAACAAAGATGGCTCCCAGCTTCTACCAGGAGCTCCCCTAAACTTCATGTGACTTAGTTTCTCCCTCTGAAAATGAGGAGCAACACAGACAGCAAGAAGGAATGGTGTGGTTAGAGCAAACTGTGAGGAAACAGTCGAGACCCTCATTGGGTCTCCTGTTCGCAGAACTGCCGGGTACCAGGCCTGCCTGCAGAGTGGCTGTGAGCTTGAGCTGCAGGTCACACAGGCAGAGCTGATGTCTCAAGTTCTGCTTCCTCCTGGGTGCATCCCTGGGCAGCCCGGCTCACCAGTGGCTATTTGCCATGTGTGCTCCCTGTGTTGGCACCAATGCTTGTAGAGTACTGGCTGCTTTTTCTGTGATGTTGAACATAGCCTGTTCAGAGAACCCTGAATCTCTGACAGCAGAAGTCAGGGTAGGTGTTGAGACAGGATGCCCATGCCCACCTTCAGATATGAAGGACATCCTCTACATCCTGCCTCTCTAACTGCTGGGAGCACCCCAAGATATCCTATAGTTATGTCCCTCTAGAAGGAAGCCCAGATCACACTAGCTTCCTGAATAGAATGCATTTATGGATGGCTCTTGTGGATACAGAGATGACTCCTCATCCTATTTTGGGCTAGAATAGACCTCCTCATTTCTGATGTCATCAGAGGTCAGAATCTCCCTCTAGTCAAGGTCTCTTCCTAATAACCCTCCTGTAGGCTATTCCTAGCAGAGTTGATTCCCAGAGATTCCACCTATAGTAACTATTCACATATACCCCACCTCCAACCCTCACCCCTGGTTGTTTTTTTAAAAGATATAAAGTTACAGGCCAGACACACTTGGTTCCTGTGGCTCCTCAATCACCTTCTCATATTCTTAGAGAAAGAAACTGTAATGGTCAGACACTGGGCAGGTGTGAAGAAAAACCCTAGGCACCTCTGCCCCCGATCCTAGTCCCTGAAGCTAGAGGAGGATCAGCTTTATCTAGGGATAATGTGGGCTTCCATACTACATAGATCTACTGGGAGGCAAAGTCTAAACTCTTTCCCCAGGATTCTCTCCATGGTACTAGTGAGACCAGGCTGGCCCCTAGGGGGACAGAAGTCAACTGCCACTAAAATATGCCTTAGGATTATCTTTTCTTCACAGGAACCACAGGGAGCAAGGATAGGTGGTGGCAACCAGAAAGTAGAGTGGCAACTAACTTGATCTCTGTCTGCCTCCTACTGGTGATAAAGGCCCAAGAGAGGCCGGCTCGTGGGCCCAAGTCGATGCCCTCTGCTGTGGCTCCAGACATACTGTAGATGTCCATGTTCCTGGGGCCAGGAACCAAACACAGCCCAGACTATCACAAGGCTGGGCAAGAAGACAGGAGCACTCCCAAGGCAAGTTGGCTAGATAACTAACTGAATCAGTGAGGGACCCTGCTTCAGTAAATAAAATGGAGTGACCACAGAAGACATCTGACATCAACATGACATCTACATGCCCCACACATTTAACATACGTGTGCATGCATGTGCACACATACACACATACACGGAGGGAGAAGAAAAGAGGGAGAAAGACAGAGACAGATAGAGAGAGCTGGGAAAGTAGTTCATTGTGCTCCAGACCATGGATTTGATCCCAGATCCTGACACATATAAGAAAAGGACACAGTTGCTGTGACACAGCTCAGCAAACTCCTGAGATTGTGGGTTCTGACACTGACTGCTGGGAGCCATATTTAGTTGCCATCACGCACCCAGAAAAACCTGTTCCTATCTGGGCATGCAAAGAAAGAGGAAGCTATGGGGACTTAAGAGTCTCAGCTCTCTTGAACCTGGGTATCTCAGCCATGAAATGGTAAAGATAATTATCCTAAGAGCTAACACTTATGCACACTTATTCTTGCCCTTAAACTTGCCAAACAACACTATTAAAGTTGGTACTTGTCCTGGTTAGATTTTTTTTGTCAACTTGACACAAGTCAGAGTCATCTAAGACGAGGAACCTCATTTGGAAAAATGCTTCCATGAGATGGCCTGTAGGGGCATTTTCTTGATTAGGGATTGATGTGGAAGGACCCAGGCAGTCTAAACGAGCCTGAGAAAGAAGCCAGTGATCAGGGCCTTGACTTTCTTTGATGACAGACTGATGTGTAAATTGAAATAAACCCTTTCTTCTCCAAGTTGCTTTTGGTCACAGTGTTTTACCACAGCACTAGAAACACTAGGATACTGCTGTTACTACTTTCATTTTATCAATGAACAGAGAAGGCATAAAAATGTGCAGTAATTCCTCCCAAAGTCACAACTCTGTGACTCCCAAGATGGTGGTGGAGGTCAAATTATGAGAGGCACTGTACTTTGGCTTCTCATTGAAAAAACAATAACTATGGATAGGTTTTTGTGTCTGTGTGTTAGTCATATAGAAGTGTGTGCACACAGGAGCCGGTGGAGGCTAGGAGCCTTGGATCTCCTCCAACTGGAGTTACAGGTGGTAGTCAGTGATTTGAAGCAACTGCTGGGAACCAAACTGTGGTCTCTGACACAGCAGCAAGTTCTCTTAACCACTGGGTCATCTCCGCAGCCCCTCTGCGTTTACTTTTCGCAGTCAGAATCACTCTGCATTGCCTAGGTTGATGCTTCTATCTCATCTGAGTGGAGGAAGTCTCCTCAAAGCCTGTGCTGCCATACCCAGCATAGTACTTAGAGATCTGTAACATCACCAAGACAATGTTGGTGATGACATAAAATAATCAGAAACTGTACATCACAGGGAACCCCTTCCTCCCGGCACCTGTCCATCTCTATCTCCAGGGTAGTGAGGATTTTTGGTTTTCCTTCCTTGCCTTCTCTCCTTATCCTCTACCCTGCCCTGGTCTATCCAATGTTCAACTCTCCATCTTAAGGATGCTGATGAAAGTTGGGTTAGCAGGCATATGAGGACAGGATATACAGATCTCTCCCTGGCCCCCCTTCATTCCTTCCTGCCTTTTACTCTGCTGCTTCCTCAGACAGGAAAGAGGTGCAGCCAGCACGGGGTAACCATTTCTGATCACAGGAGATAGCGGGAATATAAACAATACGTGTGGCAAGGAAACAGGTTCACCCAGGCTCCTTCCCTGGAGAACACCCCACAGCCTGTCCCACTTCACAAGCACTGCTCACTAACACCCCATTAATGAGGACCCCAGGAACATGGCACCTCCAGAGCACAGCAGAATACTGCACTAACTCATAGCCTCCTCTGACTTTCGTTTCAAGGAGGATGTTCTAGATTCTTCCCCTTTTCCTATTTGAAGCAATGATTTGAACATGTTCTTGCTGGAAGGAGTTGCTGAGACCTCTCTTTTGACAAATCTGTTCAACACTAGGGATCTACTCCCAAGCAAAGCTCAGACATCAGGCAAATCATTTCAAAGGTTTGTGGACCCCAGATTGAGTGAGACCCATTTTCTATAACAAGGATTGGCCAGGGAGAACAAACAAGCACAGCTGTCCCCCAAGCATTTCGAGGCTCCACAGGAACGTTCCCAATCTGCAACTGTGGTAATCAGCTAACAGATTCAAGTAAGGTTTTTTCACCTCCTCTCACTCAGTCCTAGGCTGACAGGCTGCTCTCTGAGCCTTCTCTGATGCAAATTGAGAGTCCGATTGAGTAATCACTTTGAATAATTTCCACTAGGATCACCAAGTGCTGAGGTTGGCAAGGGGCTAAGAGAGCCAGGGTAAGAAAGGTAAATTGACTCAGTGTGCTGGGTGTGGCCGCTCAATTCCAGCCAGGGCTCCCTAGCCAAGATGGTTTTCGCAGTCTGATACCTGGACTCACTGTGCTCTGGTGGCCCTCTGTTATTAACACCCACTTGCTGGACTCTGCATCTCCCTTGTACCTTTCTTTGGTCAATAGGATGGGAGGCGAGAAGCCCAGAAGAGGAAGAAGGGACACTCTCTTACGATGGGGCCATCTTACCTCTGTGCCTGTTGGTGGTTTTGTCGAACATCAGCATTGCATCCTCTACCTGAAAACAAACACAGAATACAAGCTGCTTCAGGGCTTTCCATGAAATACACAGAACATTACAAATACAGATTGTGTGGGGGTGAGGAAGGTGGTTTCCATTGCTAAAGTAGTAGTTGCTCAAATAGAGAATATTTGTAAAAGGGGGAGGGGAACAAAACTCCCAAATCCCCTCAACCTGGCACAACCTTAGGTAACAGATGTGTAGTTTCCTTTGGGGGGGGGGAAGGGAGGGAAGAGGGACAGGAGGAGAGAGAGATTGTAAGTTTTCTGTGGGCACCTGTATTCACAAACAAATACATCCCCTGCATGTAATTGAAAGTAAATAGTTTTTGAAAACCCATGCCTCTTTTAGAATTGTATTATATTGTATCATTTGTGGAATGTTATTGTCTTTTCTGTTATATAAATGGCATTACAATATAGCAAATACTTCACCCAGGTCAATACAAAGTGGCAGCTTGACAGTATTTCACAGAGCAAGAGACCACAGCTAACTCCCCATTTAATGTATATTCTGTTCATTTGGTTATAGACAACAGACTTCAGTATCTTCACTCTGAGGGGCTGGACTGAGTTCCCTAAAACTTGTAATTAAAGTCCTAATTCCCAATTCTGTGACTGGGTGACTAGTCTTTATTTTTATTTAAAAAAAAGATTTAAAATTTTTATTTCTGTGCATACATGCGTGTCTGTGTATATGTGCAATATGTATGTGGGTGCCTGTGGAAACCAAAAGGTGCATGATCTGTGGAAACTGGAGTTTTGAGTTCCCTGACATGGGTGTTGGGAAACCCAACTTGGATCCTCTGTGAAAGAAGTGCTCCTAACCACTGAGCCATCTTTCCATTCAAACTAGGTCTTTAAAGCAGCAACAGCACTAAGAGATCATTAGAATGGGCCTTAATCCTATCATATGAATGGTGTCCTCAAATGAGGACAGGAGGACAAAGATGTGTGGGGCTGAGAAACCACAGGCCAACAAGACCTCAGTAAGAACCAACCCTGTCACCACGCAATCTTGGACTTCTGGCTTCCAGGATAAACAGACATGAGACAAATAGGGTTTTGGTTGTTGAAACTCTCCAGCCTCTGATGCTTTGTTATGGCAGCCCTAGCAAACTGGTGCACTGAGGCTAGGACTCTTTCAAGACAATCAAGAAGAAAAGTACTCAGGCTGGCTTCTGTCTGTCTTCTCAAATACCCTGTAACTCTTGGACACTTCTAGCTGTAGTATTCCACACAGATATCAAGAAACAACATACAGCTCCTCAACCCACTCCTCTCATTTGTCAATCTAATCCTTTAGGTCACCCACCGCCTTTACCCTCAAGAAGGCTTGCTTTGCCACGGTGAATTAGTTGCTTTCTTCATGGATTCTGGACTCAACAATGGTAGCTGAAATACAACCCAACGCATGTGGTTGCACAAACTGTTAGCCAGAAGACTATGCTTGGAGCAGTCTGGGGGTGTGTGTGGCCGGGAAGATCTTAGCACTCTGTTATGCTCAAAGGCTCACAAGGGAGCCTTCAGCCAAGCCACCCGAGGAGGAATCACCACAGGCCACTCATTCCTCACTCCTCCTGCATGGAACAGTGAAGTGAGGATTAACATGGTGCCTCTGGACAAACTGAACTTATTTTTCTAGATCCTATCACATACGACAGTGGAGAGACCAAAGTCCAGGCAAGAATGGAAAAGGCAGGCAAGCCAGTCTGGAAGAGATCTGCCTCACTTAAAAATCCCTTCTGGAGGCAGGGCCCCCTCCCCCTTTGTTGCTAAGCAACCCAGGCTGAACAAACAGGCTCCTGGGGCCTTCCCCTTCTGGTGCCCCCCACTCCTGCAGTCATTTGCTGTGGAGAGGGTATCCTTACAGGGAGCTGGCCCCCACTTTCTCCCAGGCACCAGCTGGCAGAAGAGGCAATGTTAGTTTGAGATCACTTGAACAGGGCCTCCTTCTCTGGGCTGTTCCTGCTCCCCGTGCCTTGGCGGGCTTCAAGAGTCCCCCAGACACCTGCTGAGGCCATACGCCTCCCATACACCACCCAAGCAAATCACCATAAGATCAACTGGTATGTTTGTACACAGAGCAGTCACACTCCAGCATATGGCATCTCAGACTCAGACCTTGGGATGCCAGAAGAATTCAGATGCCTGGGGTGAGGGTGTGGGTTGGGGGTAAGGCCTGCTGCGGGTGCAGGTAAACGCGACATCTGCTTCTTTGCACCCTTCTCCACATTTTCTGAGATGTTTGCCAAATCTTGATTTTTAACTGAAAATGTCTAACAGCGAAGAAAACAGCCTCCCTTCTGTGTTGGCCATGTTTTGGTACTGAAATTCAGTTCCCTGTAGGAAATAAATATTTTGAATTAAAAGAAAAAAATTTTTTTTCCAAAGCTGTCTTTCAGTGGTGCGTAATTGGCTTCCCGCTTCTCCTGGCTAAGTTTGCCTGCTTTCTTCTGTAGCCTCCGCATTCCCTCCACCCTAGTGAGCATGGGGGGAGGATCTGTGTGTGTGTTTTGGGGACAAGCATTGTTGTAGAGAATAGGGCTCTTTCCCCTGCAGTCCAGCTGTACAATGGGACTTTCGAAGACCTCCTGAATAGATAAAAGTGTCAGGGTGCAAGAAAAATTCTATTAACATTTTACAAAATACAACATCTAAGAAGTAGCTGGAGAGAAAGAGAAAGTGCGGGGTGGGGGGAGGAATCAGTATGGATAAGACCCAGTGCTGAGGGGTGGGGGCACTTTTCAGTGGTTGCAAATACTTATTAATTCAGAGACGCCATCAATGCAATGGAAATCTGGCAGGGCAGCAAGAGCTGAAACCAGGAGAATTTGAAAACACAAAGAGTGAATAGAATGAAACCCACGGCCTCACATACGGGCCTGTTTCTCACGGTTCTTGTTCAATCAAACAGAAGCGGCTTGTACACGAGTGAGTCTCTGTCATGGAGTCTGGAGAAATGAGGGGCACAGTTGAGGTGACGGGTGTCAGTGCGGGGAGCCAGTTAACTAGCAGCGATCTCAGCCTCCCTGTCTCACGGGAGCCCCTGTACATAGGGTCACACCTGAAACTGGCACGAAGGAGCTGGCTGTGCATCATAAGCCTCCGGGAAGGGCTGAGGAGGGATGCATGCTGGGGTTGGGGAGCTAAAAGCTGTTGTTTTTCTGACCCCAAAAAGAGAACATCATTAACCCTGTGAAGTACTTCTTAAGGAATATGGTCTGGACCTTATAATCAACACTTTGCGTGGGCAATGTCTTTGCATGCTACTGCACAGATTTCCTTGTATCAGAGGTGGTACCTAAAGGCCTAACTAGTCTTTTGAATCCCCTGAGGGAGAGAAGGGAGGAGAATAGATGTCTCAACTTTAGGTGGCTTTGTCCCATGCCCTAGAATGAATCTGGTCTCTTTCGGAGAAAAGCTTATTCCAACCATGAGAAGTCTCTAGTAATGACCCAAGGCAGGTCCACATGGGTAGCCAGCCTGTCTTCCTGAGTAGCCCATCTTTAAGAATGGAAAAGCAAAGTCATGCAACTTTTAGGTCAAACAGTTGGGAAGGAGATACTCTCTGCCTTCAAGCCTGGAAGGTCTAGTGTGTGTGCTTCTGCCTATGGAAGGTTCCAGTAAATCTCCCTCAGCAGGGTATACATAGCAGTGAAAGGAGAGCCACACCAATGGGCTCTGAGACCGTTACACATCTTAGATTTGCCCACAGCCAGTTAGCCCACAGACCTTCCCCCCCACCACCCAGGATTTGTGTACCTCATTAACGCTCAGCTCCTATATGTACTTCTACTAGCCTGTGGCCTCTTTTCCTTCCCCACCTTAAACAGTGAGAGCCCAGAATGAAGAGGTTGCTTTCTCCTCTAAAGAACAGTCATACCCAACACATATGATGACCCCTAGGGACTGCAGAGTGCAGCAGCCATCCCTCCCTGCTTGGGTCTTCTCTTCTCTTAGCCAACGATCATCTAACATCCTGAAGAGTTGACAGTGGAACCAGGAGTGAAAAAGACGACAAGGAAAAGGGTTTTTTAATGTCAGTCAAGCTGTCCCCGCCCTGACACAGAACAAAACTAGTGTCTGCCCACATGATGCTAACTTTCCTTGTATCGGAGAAACCAAGATCAGCGATCAACCCAATCTTGACTTAGAAATCTAGCCAGTGGCAACTTCATTTGCTTCTACACACTCTGCATGTATCAGGCATTCCTACTTACAAAGCCTTAGCCTAACTACAAACAATGGGCAGGTCCCATGGCCTCTAAGCTCCAAGGGTGAGGATTCTGCAGAGGATGCAGAGAAGAGGCTGCAGAGCATGCTGGGAGAGAGGGGGAACAAGACAGACACTACAACATCTGGGAGCATCAAATTCCCCACTGAAAACTGTTTCCCTTTGAAAACTGTTCTGTGAGGCTGTTCCAGAGCTTTGCTGTGGTCAACACACACCCTAAGACACTTCCTACTTCCTACACCTCCTGGGATGCTGGCAAACACCCCCACATATCATACCTATTGAGAACAAAGCAGGAAACCACACTTCAAATGGTCCTTAAATCATCTATCCAGATGTGAGGAAGGAAACAGGGAAGAGGAGAAACCTCCACTCTCCCCCCAGAACAAACACTCTTAGATTTCTCTTCCTGATCCCACATGGATGCTTCAAGGGTTAGTTTAAATCAATGCCTGCAAATGCAGGACAGGCGATATGACAGTGCACAGGGCTTAGTGGCCTTATTATGCTTTATAAATTCAAGGCACTGAGGTTATTTGATGTGGCGAGACCACCTAGGACAAAGGGCCGGAATCTGTGCTGTGTCAAGCATGGGTCACTTCTGCCCCAACCACTGTATCTAGACTAAAGTGGCTCCTGACACGAACCTAAGGCAACTAAGTTGTCTTCTGAGGCTAAATTTCTCCCTCAGTATACAAAGAGGAGGTGGTGGCTTTACTAACCACTGACAAGAGAGAGCAAGCAGCAGAGGGGGCAGCCCG